TCTGTCTCACGTATGCTCTGTCTCAGTAGTCTCTGTCTCAGTATCTCATCTCTGTCTCAGTATCTCTGTCTCAGTTATCTCTGTCTCAGTATCTCTGTCCTCAGTAATCTCTGTCCTCTCTGTCTCCGCTATCTCTGTCCTCCAGTCTCTCTGTCTCCGTCTCTCTGTCTCCTCCTCTCTGTCCTCCGTCTCTCTGTCTCCGTCTCTCTGTCTCCGTCTCTCTGTCTCGTCTCTCTGTCTCCGTCTCTGCTGTCTCCGTCTCTCTGTCTCGTCTCTCTGTCTCCGTCTCTCTGTCTCCGTCTCTCTGTCTCCGTCTCTCGTACCTCTCTGTCTCCCGTCTCTCTGTCTCCGTCTCTCTGTCAATCCGTCTCTCAGTCTCCGTCTGTCTCGTCTCTCTGTCTTCCCGTCTTCTGTCTCCGTCTCTCATCTAGTCCTTCCTGTCTCTGTGTGGCGCCCCGCGCGCCTGTCTTCGTCTCGTCTGCGTCACATGGCAACACCCAGCAACAATGAAGGAGATGATCTCAGTTTGCATGGAAAATTGAATTACAATTAAGCGCAAGTTGTGCTGTAGCGCATTAGTGGAAGTTACACCCATTAACAAGCATACAAACCTTCTTGTTGAAAGCAGTAGTTGGAGCCAACTTCACAGAGATTGAAAATTACACCCACACACACACACACACAAAAAAAAAAGAAGAAAAAACACCTCTTGCTACCATAATCTGTGCAAAACGCATAAAAATATTTATGGGCTAACTATAACGACAAACACGCTGGCATGTTTTTCGCGGAAATTGACTTCTATATATCATACAAGTTTTATTATTACATTCACCAAATACCTATTCTGCTGTCGTTTTGTCTTCAGGCCGGATAGAGTATTTCTGTATAATAGGGCATCAATTGTTTAAAACCCTAGTATTTCATAAGTCACGAGTATCGCTGATAGATTCAAGAAATCATTACGTACTTCGTATTTTCTGACTGTCGCAGAAGACATCACATATCGTGGTCCGTTTAGTACAGACCTGTCGTAATTCGCTACCCCAATTCATCAATTGAGAATTTGCATTTTTCTTCTTTTTTGTTCCGAGCAACAGATTTACTCTTCGGTGATTATTTAGCACTACGCTCAATATCCATTCACCTTAAGCTTCTGGATTACTACTTTTCTCATACAAAAAGTCTCCATTTTAAGTTTTCTCGCTTTACGATTTGGATAGCAGAGAATGTATTGTAGGCTGCGTGTAAAGAACGGCAGTTTTTTTTACAGAAAATTGTGGGGTCCTAATGTCGCAGGGTGGATAAATCTCGTAGCTAGATGATGTAAGAGTGTAGACCCCGAAGGTGTGGATTGCTGTTTTGTTAGAAATACTTCAAATCTGTAGTTTCGTTTACCGATACAACTATGTTTTATATTGCCGAAACGAAATTTTATAGTTTTCGAATAATTCCAATCCCTTTGTTGCGTAACGTTAATGATCTTTCAGCTATGTGTACTAGTACAGGATGGGGAAGAAGATTCTGAACTCACGTAAAATTTACTTAGAATGTTCTTTATCCCCATACGTCACATTCAGTTTCTAACTACTTTGACAGAAAACAAATCAATCGAAGTATTTATCAGTTAATTCTTCTCATTGACAGTGTTTGTTGTTGCTTTTTAAATCGAATGACTACTCCACGGAAAACTGCAATCAACCTCATACTGGCATGTGAAGGTGGTTGCCTACATTGTTGTGGTCGGGAACCCGGGACAATACTTGTACATAATACCTAACCGATCACTACATAATAACAATAACTCAATAACCGAATTGTGAATGTTAAAATCCTTCCACGGGAATTCGTATTACTGTTTTCTCATCTCATTTGAAGCATTATTCTAGTGGAGTATAATTAGAATGTGGTTGAATGTTCGTCACGTGGTTACGCCCATTTTTTGGTTTTTGTTTATTCTTTGTGTTTTTGTTGTGTTGGGTTGGTGGGGGGGGTGGGTTGTGTTGTTGGGTTTGGTTGGGGTTGGTGGTGGGTTTGGTGGGTTGTTTGGGTGGGGGGGGATTTTGTTGGGGGTGTGGTGGGTTTTGTCTTTATATGGTGTTTTTTGGGTTGGGTTTTTTTTTTGTGCCGGACGCCTAAGTCAGAGCGATTCAGAGCTTAGCAACAAAGTTGTCCACCATATTATTAAACAAATGAACGCGTTCACACTCGTACTATCTTAAATTTTTCATGAGAACAGTATATTAACTACAATATTAACAACAATATTAGAGGTAATCCAAGTAGGAGTAACTCGGTAGCTATATAAATTTTAATACACGATTTACTTAATTAATATTCTGAAAGGTTTTCAATATTATCTACAAGACAGAGTTACAGAGGACTGCAGCATATCTTTTGATGTGCCCTCGAATTTTGTTTTTGGTTAACGGGATAAGCTTTTGGAACCAAGATTGAATTTTTGCAAGTAGCGATTTTTTTCTGAATTTAACGTTGAAACAATGTAGATAATTTAGTTTATATCCATGATTTTGAGATGTCCACTCGAAGTTAAATTTTGAATTTGTTATTTCTATTAACTAAGAGATTAAGGATCTCGTCTAAAAAATATTTTTGTACTGTCTCTATCTTATGAAAAAAATTGGTTTTTGGACAATGGTTTTTTTGTGCCCTCCCCAGATGGGACATGCTTACTACATTTGCAAGGCGATATCAATTGCTTTAAATTATTGAGATTTCTCTTTTATTTGTAGAAGATTTTGTTATTATGGATGGATATATTTACGAATTTGTAATGTTTGTTTTTAATTGGGTATCGGTATTTAAATAATCTATCCAGGTAAGTCTTTGACCTAAATGAAGTTGCAAGATTATTTTACTACTGATATTTGATGGAAGCCATTTGAATAATTGAATTATTTAGCAATTAATTGATTTATATGTATAGTTTCACCGTAAAGAAAAGCTTTAGCTTGAACATTAGGATAATTATTTTATTTGCCAAAATATAAAACAGATTAATTGAAAGCTGTAAGATCTTGCCTCGACAAATTAGTAAGTCGGCCGAAGTTATCTCCCAATTAGTCCATTTGTGATGTGGATAAAGTAGTGTTCTGCAAATAGAGCAATTTCAGAAATTTAAAAAGCAAGATAAATCATAAATTTAAATATAAAAGTTTAAAAGAGAAAGTGGCAGAACTTCAAGGCACCTCCCGCACTAACTGGACCTTCACAGAAAATTCAGAATTTTATTTTTAATTCTAAAAAGAAGAGATGTGAGAACATCTTTTAATTAATGTTGACATTCAGATATCCAATGTTTGCCTTAATATATACTAAATAAGCTATTATGCCAAACATTGATCTAAAGCTTGTAATCTGGCTTGTTTGGAATGTCTCAGTTAATCAGCTGAGCCTCTTTTACAAAGCTGTTGAGAGTGAGGGTAATTATGATAAAAATGACGTTACGTGGTTTGGGTATTGTGATACTATGGTGTTAGTTTTGCTGTTAATGTTATTGCATGTTGTGTCCTTGATATTTCTGCACACCATTTTTCTGAGCCCTCATTTTCTAGATGTAAAGGAGAGAGAGAGAGAGGAGAGAGAGAGAGGAGAGAGAGAGAGAGAGAGATGAGAGAGAAAGAGAAAGAGAGAGAGAAAGAGGAGAAGAGCGTGTGTGATGCGTGTGCGTGCGTGGTGCGTGCGTGTGCGTGGCGTGGTGCGTGCCGTGTCGTGGTGTGCGTGCGATGTGCGTGGTGTGTGTGCGTGTGCGCGCGTGTGTGCGTGGTGCGCGCGTGTGCGCGCGTGTGTGCGCGTGTGTGCGCGTGTGTGCGCGTGTGTGGCGTGTGTGTGCGTGTGTGTGCGCTGTGTGTGCGTGTGTGCGTGTGTGTGCGTGTGCGCGCGTGTGTGTGCGTTGTGTGCGTGGGTCGTGTGTGTGCGTGTGCGCGCGCGTAGTGTTGTGCGTGTGTGTGCTGTGTGTGCGTGTGTGTGCGCGTGAGTGCGTCGGTGTGTGCGCGTGCGCGTGTATGCGCGTGTGCGCGTGCGCGTGCGTGCGCGTGCATGCGTGCGCGCGCGTGGTCGTGTGCTGCGTGTGTGGCGCGTGTGCGCGCGTGTGCGTGTGTGCGCGCGTGTGGCGCGTGTAGCGTGCGCGTGCGCGTGCGTGCGTGTGTGCGCGCGCGTGTGTGTGCGTGTGTGTGCGTGCTGTGCGTGTGTGTGTTGTGTGTGTGTGTGTGTGGTTGTGTGTGTGCGGCGCGCGCGCGTGCGCGCGCGCGGGGGGTGATTATTTTGTGACAGGACTTTACATCAAATCCACAGCTACGTTTTTTCGATGCAAAATAATTTTTATTGCACGAGACTGTACATTTCTAGTTATCAGACTTTTGTCACAACTCCTTGCAATTATTTAACTCTGAAGTGTCGGTAGTATTCGGATTTACGGGAGAAAACGTTTCGTATAATAGCTATCGGTAACTTGAAAGAGCGTGTAATAAGCGTGTTTTTCTCCCCCCCCCCCACGTTCAAACTGTCATCTACTACATTTTTTTCACTTTCGGACGCTCAAACCATCATTAACTTCAACCATTCATCTGCCTTGCCCCTTCCGCTCCGTCGTGCAATATTCGAGATGCACTGCATATTGCATATTGTGAAGAATATTTATGAGAAGCAATTGCTTGGAACATTATGAGGGGTCGTTTGTGGACATTGGAGGGAAATTTGAGATACATTTGAGAGAACATCGAGGGACGTTGGGGGAACATTTGAAGAACACTGAGGGAACATTAACATGGACTTGAACATTCGGATACCCCCCATAATCAGTTTGGGGATAACTTTTTTTTTTTATTGACTATAACATCTCCCAGGGAATCTTTGGTTTTATATAGAAACATTTTCAGGGACACATTTTGAAAACAGATGGGAACATGAGAGGAACATGTACGAAGGTGGAAAGTGCATGCGGAATGCGGTGTTCACCTCTATGTGAGGGTGCTGTGTAACCACTGCAAGGGAACATTTAGTGTTATTCTTAAATTCTATTTATATTGATCACTTACAGCCTAGCTTACATCACTAGATACTTATAAACTAATCTCAATCTACTTTGTCTTGAGATCTAACTTATTCTAACACTTAACAAGCAGAGAAAGCCAGGTATATCGGGGCGCATGTAAAAAACTGTGGGGGAGCAGGTGGAGCATGGATTGATAGAAGATTGTCCAGTTCCTGGTGCCCCCTTACCAACAGAAGATGTTAGTAAGTAGCAGACACCTAAAATTACATTGTCATGTTAATACTGCCTGTTTTATTTGACGGCTCTTCAATGTTCATTCAAGGCTTCTTGGCCTGAAGTGGATCCTTTATGAGGTATTTTCACTTTTAAAGCTATGCATTAATAAAATTGTGGAATGTTCACCACTTTTCTGCTAGTTTTAATCTATTTATTTAGAAATGTAGAAATTATATGGGAGAAATATATTTTCATTTCATATTTCAATGAAATTCTCATATCTGAATTTTACCATTAGAAATTCTCGTGCTATTTCAATACTGTTTGGCATATTTAGTAATGTTACTTTGAGAAGCTTGATAGCTTATCTGAATCATCATGAGATTTTCATGAAATGTAAATTTCAGTTTGAAATATAGAAAGTACTTTATACTTTGCATCTACAAATTGTTTTCACTGAAGTAGTCAAATTAAATGAACTCTGGTTAGGAATAATAAACATATTTTAAATGACATTGAGTGAAAATTAATTGTGCAAGGCATATCTTCTGTTTATTGTTTCAGTTTTCCCGAGAATATCTTATTTACACCAAACCTCACAAATTATCAAGTGAGGTAAAAATATTGGTAGAGAAACAAAGTAATAAGTTTGTGTTAGAGGTTGCAGTGGAAGCTTTCAATTGAGTGTAGAATGCTTTACATTATTACAATAGTTTAATGCTTTCCACTCAGTATGACTCTTGCACAAAGATGACAAATCATTTAAATGTTTCAAGTATCTGGTGTTTTATCTACAGTGTGTAATGTGTTGTTGAAGTGATAGAAGTGATTAAGAAGAAAAATTTTTGAAAATTTCTGTTCGCACAAATATTCATTATTGTAGCAAATATGCAGAAAATATTTGGGTTCATATTCAATAAGCACTAAGGATCACGAAAGAAAGATGTGTAAGCCTTAGTTAAGTTTCTTAAGGAAGATGAAAGAAAAATAGTTCAAACTATTAAAAGAAAATATTTAGCATTTGTTTATATGATGTAAAATGAATTGGAATGAACTTTTTTTAACCGGGGAATTTTTCACATTACATCCTTGATCATTTACCACGCAAATCATGAAATGTGTAATAAAGGATATGCACTCTTGGACTCTTTCAGAAATCCTTAAGTTTCAGTTACTTCCACAAGATATATGGGATAGTCAGAAGAAAGCTCGAAGAGACAGGAAAACTTTCTTGTGAATGAACATTGTTTTAGGGGATCTTATGAAGGGTTTTAATTTTCAAGTGACAAATCAATTGTAATAGATTGTGTCAACTTTTGGAATCGCCTTTTATTGCGTGAATTTGATGTTCTTTTTCATGATAAAATTGTTTAATTTAATTTATTAGAGTGAACACTCATGAGGGGTACAAATACAGAAATGTTTGGAAGTTGACTAGAATCTAATAGTTGACCTTCCTCTAAGTTTTATACCATTTAAGACCAAATGGGGATAGGTCACCAAGCCCTGTGTTGCAACTTATTTGAAAAAGTTTATAGGTAAAAATTATTAGAGAAAATTGTTTACTATTCATGTAAGTTGCGCACTTACCTTGATTTTTATAGAATGACTTATTTTGTATTCTATAAAAAAAAATGTTTATTATCTTCATTGGGGATTTAAGTAAGTTTTGGGTTCGAGCAAGAAAATCCAATGGGAAAAATAGCTCTCTTTCACTAATTCATTGAAAGTTTTGGTAAATAGCTTAAAAAGTTTACGTAATTTGTAATGTCTGTGTGTTTAGAAGTATTCTTCCTTAGATAAACATACTTTTAAATCATACTTAATCATATTCATATAATAAGAAAGATAAAAATGAAGTCTCAAAACAAAAATCTTTTAAAATTCTATAATATGTAATTAATGTAGTATTCAATGATAATGATTATTAATAGTTGGTTTTCTTCTTAAAATAGATTTGATAGGTAATCACATTTTTTGAAATGGAGATTAATTCAATTGAGAAGTCTTTCAGTATATTTATCCATGCCATTTTTGTTTATTCTAATGATATTGCAAAAAAGGGATAAGTTGAGCTTATCATCTAGCTTATCATTAAAGACTTCCCACCATTTCCTAACACATTAAGGAAAACAGAAACATTCATACTACTTTGGACGTAGACCACTAATTTTTTGCAGAGCAAATTAAGCTGATATTCTCCCTTTTCCTTCCATCTACCCTACTTCCATCTTCCATCTTCCCAAAATATCTATGTTCATTTTACAGTAGATGAACCTATGAAGATTAAACTTTTTTTTGATCTTCACTGTTAACTCCTACTAATTTTCAGTCATTTTCAATTTGTTTATGCATTAAAAAATATAAGCATATATAACCAGACTAATGTTAAGTTTTTTGAATATAATGAATAACAGTATTATAGTATTGAGAAACAAATCTAGTTATGATTTTGAAGGTCCATGATTTTATGTTAAGGGCATTGTTTTTCTACCTCTGAAGCGACCTCAAGAATAGGGAGAGCTAGTCGCGCATCTCCTTTCTAATTGATCTGTAGAATGCTAGAGGCAATCAGGTATTTGGTTATCATCATATTGCTTTTCTCTGTCTCCGTCTCTCTGTCTCCGTCTCTCTGTCTCCGTCTCTCAGTCTCCGTCTGTCTCCGTCTCTCTGTCTCCGTCTCTCTGTCTCCGTCTCTCAATCTCAGTCTCTCTGTCTCTGTGTGGCGCCCGCGCCGCCTG